AGCGGGGGAAGGAGGCCCTGGTACACCTCGCCCTTTCCGAGGAGGGGCCCGAGTCCCGGCACTGCTCGCCCCTCCCCGGCCAGGTCGGGAAGCAGGCGTCCGGGCCGCACACCTGGGCCGGCCCTCGCTGCCCCCTCGGCAGTCACGTGAGCGGTTAGGGGCAGGTGTGAACTGATGGGGACGGTGTTCAGGTGGAGGGAGGTTGTCGCTGAGGGTCGGAAAGAAGGGCGAGGGCTCTGGAAAACAGGCAGGTGTGGCCCAGCCGGATCTGGTCAGCGTGGGGACGAGAGCGAGAGCGAGCCTTTGACTTCCTGACTGGACCAGGCTCTGACCGTGCCCCTTATCCAAAATCAGCAGCTTGAGGATCCAGCAGCAGGAAGTAAAAGACTCAATCTGACGAAAATATAACCTTCTGTGGCCCTTGTCAGATTTTCTGAATCAGGAAGTGCTTGTGCGACCAGACATCTATTAAAGACCCTCTTCCGGAAGGTAGCTTTAGCCTTCCAAAATTACTGTTGATTTTAGCTTCAAAGACAGGAAATCTTAAGTAGAAATTTGAAATAATACATAGAGCCCAGGCATGGGGTGTAGCTCAGTGTCAGAACGCTAGCCTAGTACAGTCTGGATTGGTTACCCAGCTCTTCAAACAAAACACCAGAATCCCTGCTAACTATTGTGTGAGTGAAGAAACTGGGGAATGGAGACCTGTCGCCATGTGTCATGGTGAGAGGTGGTTCCAATGATGCCTGGCTGTGTGAGGTTGGCAGCTGATGCACCCTGTGTTCCCTGATCAGACAAGATCTAAACCATGTTGTTCACTGCTGTGATACTCGTGTGCTCAGGAATTGTTCACTTGCGTTCAACCCTTACTGTATGTCATCGTCATACAATGAACAGAGCAGACAGAATCCCGGTCTCCAGAGTTAACATTCCTGTGTGGCATGTGGAGAACACAGAACTGACAGCTGCTGAGGGCGCGCTAGGGAAGAATTACAGAGCGGGAAGGCTCCTGGGAGGTAGTGCACCGAAGGAAGACTAATCAGAAAGTGAGGGATGTCCCCTCTAGGAGAGCTGGGGAGAGCCAACGGGAACAGCAAGGGAGCCATTGTGGCTCAGCAAGTCGGGGAGAGAGCGATGAGGTGAAGAGATGTGATTGTGTCCTGGAGTTATTTAGAAGGAGTCAAAATGATGTGTTTGGAGATGGGCTGTGGGGTATGAGCGCGAGAGAGGAGTTAAGTGCGAGATTTTAGGCCTGGGTGACTGGAAGGAGGGAGTTGCTACAAGGCCAAGTGTGGGAAACAGTAGATGGAGCAGGTTTGGAAAGAAAGTCTCAGGAACTCAGTGTCAGATTCGGTGAGTCAGATGGGCCTGTCAGGTGTCCAAGTGGATTTGTCAAGGGATAGTTAGATTATCTGGAATTAGGAATTAGGAAGAACTTTAGGTGAAAATACAGTGTGTTAGATGTATTTAAAGACGTAACAGGGAGATCATCAAGAGTGAGGGTGATACAGGAGCTAGCTGTGAACTGAACCCTGGGGCTTGCATGTGGTTAAGGTCAGAGATGCATCAGATACTGCTGACTGAGTAATAAAACAACTGAGAATTGATTGTGTGAATCACAGGACACAGCAACACTGAGTTCTTTGGTGACTTTTTGAGTCCCTGTTTGAATACTGCAGGATTTTTAATTATATATCATGACATTTGGAAAAAGAATTGCCACAGCCTGATAGCTTAAGAGAATAACACAGAAGGCCATATTTAAAACACTGTTGAAGTGAAATGATGTTGAGCTGTAAGTTTACCAGTTTACAGCACACAGTGCTGTCCTCTGCTTCCACTCCCCTACATGAACAGAAGAAACCCACTTCTCTTTTTTTTTTACTGACACTGGGTCCAGACAGTTCTCCATGTAGGAGGTGTGCTCAGGAAATATCTGTTGACTTTGAAAATGAATAAACTATCTGAACATTAGCAGTGTTAGTTTTCATTTAAAAATTTTTTTCATTAGAGAATTTTACTTTAAACGTGTCATCTTAAACTGCAGAGATGTCTGTTACGCATCACAATTAAACATGCCAAAGGAGAAGCCATCTTGTCATGATGCCCACTTAACCCACCCTTTACTGACCTTCTGTGCTCTGCAAGTTTTTTTTTTCAGTTATTTTTAAAGTTATTTTTCTTTTTTTAAACAAGTAGGACAGGTACATTTTGGTGAATGCTAACTGCCCATATTCATATAAAGACACAGGGTAAGCTCTAAGCCCGATGTACAGAGAAAGGAGGAAAAAAGCTAAGTTTCTTTGCACTGCTGCACAGAGGCTCAGCACCTTCCAGATCCCAGCAGGGAAGGGAACACAAAGGTGTCAGCATCGTGGGTCCGTCCCCCTCAAACCTCCCCCTGCCCACAGAACACGGTGGTATTGATTCCATAGAGTTTGTGTTGAGACAGGAAGGAATAAAAGTGAATAAAAGGTTGTAGAGATTCTTTTCCATTGTATTCTGCTGAAGGTTTCTCCCCACAAAATAAGTCAAGAACCATAGTGTTTGAGAAAGACCTCAAGAACAGAGCAACTGAGCACAAGAGGAGGGGGCTGCAACTTGCTCCCAGGGATTGGAGAAAAATCTTTTTAAAAGGTTGGACTCCGTCAGTGTTCGGCTTGTCATCGCCTTCATCCTCTTCACCTTCATCCTCACCCCCTTCTTCATTAACATCTTCCAGTCCTTCGTTGTCTTTTCCTTCCCCAACTTGTCCATGTCAGGAACCTGTAGCCCTGCAGTGAGTTTGGCCCAGTGTCATCTTCAGTGACCTCCCCTGACTCATCTGTGCTGCATCGGAATGGTCAGGAAACCAGGGAGGGAAGCTCTCAGGCTCTTCATACTGCCTCTTGCTACTGGCTTTATTCTGTGTTTCACTTGAATTTTGTCAAGTCCTTTCCAGATATCCACTTGATTTCAGTGGAGGTCACCACTCTCATTCAGATGAAATGCTTTAGAGAACTTTATTTTCAAAGTGAGGATTTCCATCAACATAAAAAGCTATTCTGTAACCTGGTGGTTTGTTTTTGTTTTTGTACCAGGGATCAAACTCGACCTTGTGCTTGCAAGGCAAACAGCCGCACCACTGAGCAAAATCCCCGGTCCTGTAACCTGATTTTATGTCTTCAAATTCTGTCCCTTCAACTGTGGTCAAATAATGCTGCCTCTCTTCTTCCTCAGGCAGTCCAGACACTTGTGGATGGTTAACAAATGTTATTACCCCCAAATTTTGGGATTTTGGCATTCTGATCTCTTCTGAAAAAAATGGTTGTCAGAGTTTGTTATATTGCTGTTCTACTTTAAGTATCTCCTCACTGGCTTGTTCATTAAGTCTGTTTCAACAGTATGTTCAGTTGCTGCTTGTTCTTTTTCTCCCTTGTGCACACCCAGCCAGGCTGATGCATCCATGGATCGGGAGCAGACTACCTGGGCTTCTTGGGCAGAGGTGTGATCAAACATTAGTGCTTGGGCACCATGACATAAGGGAAGTCCCAGCACCAGCCCAAGGGTTGTCTCAGGCCACAGGAAGCAGCTCAGGAACTAAGTTTTTTTCATATTTTAAAATCTGTTTCAATACTGAGGATAGAACAGAGGTGCTGTATTCCCACCCTTTTTTTTTTTTTTTTTTTTT